GTTATGACTAGCATATAAACGTGCAGGAATAATGTTAAGCGAAGAAGAGATTTGGTGGGTAAAGTTTTCCAGAAAATTTTGTGAATTTGCAAATTTGCTAACTCCGCTTTCCTGCTGTTTCCATCTTCTGAAAACCTATTTTAAACTCACCCCTTTTTTGGAAATGATCGAAAGTGAAAGTGTTTGAGCTGACTGCAACGCAAGGAGCAACACCCTGCTAGGCTGCTACCCTTTTACAATCATTCTTTTGATTACTCTTGAATCATGAGGAAATTTTTATTACCTTGTTGAGATTTAGGCTTGCAATTGCTCTTCTTACCCAACACTAGTTAATTACTGTTCCATTTTATATTTTTAGTTCCCCTTGTTCGTCACCAGTCTATACTATGTTTTTGTTGTACATATTCTGGTGACGGATATCCGTAGCCTAGCAGGAACTTAGAGGTGCCATCGCGGACATGGAAGGGAAGAACTGCATCATTAAGCCTATCATCGTGGTGTTTTTAATAAAGCGTATTATTTAACTAGATAATTAAGGGATTTCGTTAATTCCATGTCATTTCAGGCTCAACTCCATCATTACCAACAGACAAAACAAAAAATAATATCCGGCAATGAACAAGATATTGGAATACCAGAACCGGATGATGCAAGCGAAGCCTCAGATTACGATGACAATAACTTTTCTGTTTATGAATGTCCAGGACTTGCACCAACTGGTGACCTTGAAGTGCAGAATCCAAATTTTACTCGGCCATAAAATCCAGTTGTCTGTGAGATCCCTTGAACAAAACTAATCTGTTTTCCTAAAAATTCTTCTCATTAAAAGAGTTAAACAATTTTGATCTCACTACTTCCTTTCTCTTCTGTGGATATTATTTTATTATGTTTAGGAAAATATTGAATTCAAAAAGCATAAAAAAATTTCTTATTTACCAAAGAAGCGAAAAATTATATAACTGGCTTCTCACGAAAATGTGCAAAAAAATTTTTAGTTGTTATGGGACTCTATTAAATTGCTCTGTCTTCTAATACCGTTATTACATATGCGGGAAATACTTTGTCTGTCTAGTGATATAGTTGATTTTCATTCAAATTTTTATTTGTAACTCTTAAGTGCTATACAGTATTCGACAGTTTTATTCTATCTATTTTCTCACACGCTGTCTCTTCCGTGGCACAATTATATTCAAGGTTACGGACAAACTCGTTGATTGCTTTGCCTCAAAGGAACAGATCATGTGTTTCATGGCCCCATCATGCCGGCTTTGTTAATGCTACAAAAATACTCCACTTTGACCATAGATTTAATAAAATTTCATCGTTGCTTTAGAGTGCCGAAGACGTTAAATCAAGGTGGGTAAAAGCTTTGATAAATTAACCGACTGGAAAGTAAAACAGTTTATGAATATGCCTATAAAATTAACTTCTAACACCTAGAGTTGTTAATACCGTCACAACAGTTCTTTGAAGTTGAAGTAAGCTAGGTGGGGTAGCAGCGTGAAATGACCAAGCGTGTAAGTGGTTGTGATCATAGATCTCTGCGGAAGATGGATGAACGAAGGGCTGGTTTTTTGTTAAACAGCAAGACTGGTTTCTTGCTCACAGACAACTGAGTCGTGAGTCTTACGTCCTGGAGCATGAAGAAAGATAAATTTATCTTCAGAACAAGTGGGAAGGTTAGAATCTTAGGAAGTAGGTTCACCTCTGCTGGAGTCTTGTTGGTTACAACAGCTCCTTGTACACAGTCCAAAATGCAGAAACAAGTACTGTAGGAATCTGGGAAGGAACTGACGTTTCGGAGTATTTTGATAGTAAAGCGCTCAAGATTTAAAAAACTGAGGGTTTGTGGTAGCAAAGATAGCAAAGTAAGAAGAAATATTGTTCAAATACAGATAGTTTGGACCTCTACGAAATACATTGTAAAAGTTACGACAAAGAAATATCACTTTTGCCTAGTACTTAGTTGCGTTTCTGACTCGTGTATTTTTACACCTGTTTGTTTATCTATTTATCTGACAACAAAATGCATGGGATAGGACAACATTCAGCATACTGCCACAGACAGTAGGAAAGGTACAAAAAAAAAAAAAA